AAAAAAATGAGCAATTTAGAAGATTGCTTTGGGGAATCCCTGAAAGAATGGAAAGCCATGGGCAGTTCCCATGGAGACTTGGGTTCCTAAAGGAACCAGTATGTAGTTATAGGAATCTGGATGATCTCTTTGCTCAGGACTTCACCTCAAGATGAGGGCAATACTTTCTGAAAATGAGATACATCAAGAATGCTTAAAATACTAATTCTTTGACTCAGTTATTCTTCTAGAAATCTATTCTAAGAAAATATTCTGAAATGCGAATAAAGGTGTTCGTTTCAGAGTTATTTATAATAAATAATAAAAATATCAAAAAGCCTAAATGACTAACAATCCCAATAAATGATTGGTCAAATAAATTGGGTGCTCCCAAAATAATGTTTCCAAAGAATTTATTAATAACAAGAATAAAAGTCCATTATACAATGTTAAGTGAAAAGGCAGGTAACAAAGAATTTCTACAGTATGAGTTTAGAGACATTTATACTTATTATGGCTATGAGGCCATGGGTGAGTTTTCTTTTTCTAATATGCAATTCTTTTAATTTTCCGATTTTTCTATAAAGAATATGAATTATCTTTATAATCAGAAATTTTGTTTATTTGCTTGGTTTGCTTTGGTTTTTCAGAAAGGGTTTGGATTATCTGACATAAGGTCCCTTTTAGCTCTGAAATCCTATAAAATCTACATCCATGATGTCCACTTTAACTTTTTCTTCTGTAATCTTGGGCAAGGAGACTAAAGTAGACCCTAGTAATAGACATTTTCTCTCTTCCCCCACCATTGACACTTTCCATGATCCTTCCAGGTGGCATTTCCAGGAAATTTACAGCTTGTATTCATTCTGCGTCCATCCTGCTTTATCCAGAGGACATTCACTGACATTGGCATTAAATACTATAGAGAAGAATTTAAAATGAAAGTGCCGGTAAGCATGACTATTCATCTTCTCTCTGCTTAGTTAGGGCTTCTGAAGAAGATGGCATTTGAGCAAGGTTTCCAGGAAAAGTAGGATTCAGCAGGCATAGAGAGAGAGGAGAAGGTGTTCTGGCTCGAGGGAACAGCACAAGTATAGGTCGGCAGGGAGGTGGGACGTGCACATATTGTGTGGGTCCATGGGAAAACCCATTTTTGTTGGAGTACATAGAGGGCAATCTTTTAGAAGTGAGGTAGGAAACATGGAATAACTCTTCAATGTGAGGATGAAGGTTCTGGATTTTATTCCTTAAGCAATGGGGATCCAGAGAAGGGTTTCTGGTTGGGGAGTGACCTGATAAACTGCAACTGGAGTTGTACTGATCTGAAGGTGATGTCTGGGACTGTAGGAAGAGATTAAAGAAGGCAGCTACAGGTGAAGCAAAATACAGATCTAAAATATGGGGTGGCTTGGCGCCTGTGGCTCAAGCGGCTAAGGCGCCAGCCACATACACCTAAGGTGGCAGGTTCGAATCCCCAGCCTGGGCCCACCAAACAACAATGATGGCTGCAACCAAAGAATCGCCGGGCGTTGTGGCAGGTGCCTGTGGTCCCAGCTATCTTGGGAGGCTGAGGCAGGAGACTCACTTGAGCCCAGTAGTTGGAGGTTGCTGTGAGCTGTGATGCCATGGCACTCTACCCAGGGGGATAGCTTGAGGCTCCGTCTTAAAAAATAAATAAATAAAATAAAATAAAATAAAATATGAGGTGACATAAATATAAGAAATTGTAAATATTAAATCCAGCATTGTCATTCTCAGAAGAGAAAAAAATATTAAAAGATTCATAATCTTTCCATAACTTTGGCAAGCAGATGTGGGAAGATAGGTACTCTTAGACTTTGCTCATAGGAATGGACTTGGGAATGACCAATCTGAAGGTCTAATTATATGCATTAATGGAAAATTAAATGTATATGCTCTTTGACTCACCTATAAAAGTTATTCCACAGATATTCTCACACAGTTGCACAAAGTTGCATAGACAATAATATTTATTAGTAATCTGTTTGTGGTTGTAAAAGATCGGAAACAACTTAATGTCCAACGAATGGGGACTGGTTAAATAAATTATGGCCTACCCAATCTATGAAGTGCTTTGCAGCCAATGAAAGTGGTAAGGTATGGTGCAATCACAGTGGAAACAGTTGTTATTTCTTATAAAATAAGTTGATACCTACCCTGTGACCCAACCAAGAGAAAGGAAAACTTAATGTCCACAAAAAGAGATATATAAGAATGTTTGTTAGGCAATAATGGATAAAAAAGTCGTGGCATATTCATATAATGTATACATATTCATATAATCAATACATTAAGCAATAAAAATGAATGAAATGCTGATATAGGCAACAACTTGAATACATCTCAAAAACCCTTGAGAAGAGAAGCTAGACGCTAAAGAGTGTACTTAATGATTCCTTTTAAGAATATGCAGACCTAAGCTGTGGGGACAGAAAGTCTAAACAGGGCTGAGGGGTCAAGAGGCTAATAGGAAGGAGGCAAAGGCACTTTCTGAGAAATGTTCTAGGTCTTGATTGGGTGGTATGACACGTCTGTATTCGTTTATCAGAACTAATTGAACAATACCCTTAAAATCTATGCATTTGAGTGATGTAATTGTCTCAATTGTTAATAACAAACAGAAAATAATACATAGGATAGATCTATTATAATTCCATATCACAGTTTCTAATACAGAAGAACCTCTGTGAGCTGACCACCCAAGGGCCTATAACAACCTGGTCAACACATGGAGGTGGCCAAGATCAGGAACTCAGCCTTCTGTACTGATAGGCACACGTGGTGCATGTCCAGTCTATGAAAATTAGGTCAACTTAAGGCGGTATCCATGTAGGGAGGGGGCTAACTATGGAGGTTCTACTGTATATATTTGGGGGGGGGTTATGTTTAATTGCAAATAATTTCAAACTCACGGAAAAGTTGCAAGAGTAAGAATAGTACAAATAGTCATGTAGTTTTGTACATGATAATTTTGTACGATGATAATCTGGATAAAGTCACATGCCCTTTACCCATATTCACTCACCTGTTGTTAACATTTTACCCTAATTTACTTTATTCATTATTGTTTGCTTCTCTCTGTGCATTTAAATTATATATATATGCACAGACACACACATATATATGTATATTTATATATACATATATATATGTGTTAATATATATTGCATTTGGCAATTGCATAAAGTTAAATATTGCAATTAACATAATGTTAATGTCATAAAAAATAAGGAAAGGTGGTGGAAATGTTTCAGATTAAAAGAGGCTAAAGAGACATGACAGGTAAATACATTGCCCAATCCCAGACAAGATTCTGTACATATATCCTATATGAGCATATCACATATATGCGTATATATGAGGTATAATATATTTTTTACGTATCTCTTTACATGTACATTTAGAATAAGGTATGTGTATTTGTGCATTAGAATAAGGTTTGTTTATATGTACTGTGCTGTACTTTCTTGGTCTATCTGTGCTGCTATAATACAAAACTGTAGACTGTGTACTTTATAAAGAATAGAACTTTATTTCCCAGAGTTGTGGAGGTCAGCAGGTTCGGTGTCTGGTGAAGGATGGGTCTTCCTTTCCAGCATGGCACCTTGTTGCTGCATCCTCTGGAGGGGATGAACCCTGTGTCCTCACATGGCAGCAGAGTAGAAGAGCAAAGGGGACAGACCCACTTCCTCCAGCCCTTTTTATAAGGGCATCAACCGCATCCATGAGGAAGAAACCCTCATAAGCTAATCACTTCCCAGAGGTTCCACCTTCCAATACCATCACCTTGGGGACTAGGTTTCAGCATATGAATCTCAGAGAACACAAACATTCAAACCAGAGTATGTATTATAATGTATATGTAAGTTTAGAATAATGGTTATGTACACGTTTTGGGTATATTGTAATGTATATGTATTTATCTGTATATTTACAATAAATTTAGCTATAGATATATACAAAATAGGTGTACATGATCTAGTCTAGGACTGGATAGTGGATTTAGTTGTCGTATCTTTTTGGTCTCCTTCAACCTGAAACATTTCCACAGCCTTTCTCTGTCGTTTATGACATTAATATGTAGTCCCTTGAAAAAAATAAGACATACCTCATTTGGGGCTCCTGTGATGGTTTCTCTCAATTTGATTCAGGTTACACATTCCAACCTGGCATAGTTCATAAATGATTTTGTGTCCTTCTCAGGATACCCAGAGGCCCGCATTGCTCATGTACCCCTCACTGGTGATTCTAATTTTGATCCCCTAGTCAGGGGGTTGTCAACTTTCCCAAATGTCTTGTTTCTCTTGCAACTAATAAGCAATCTTTGGAGTGACACCTTAAGACCATTCAAATCTCCTTCTTCTCTTCAAAAAAGTCCTCTCTCCCTTTGATATCTATGAAAGGTTATTGCCTGATACAACCTTTATTATGTAGTTGCAAAATAAGAATTTTCCCACTCCAGCCCTCTCTTAAATTGGTTTTATGATAAGCTGGTTTTATTACACTGGTTGCAAAATAATAATTTTCCAACTCTAGTGCTCTCTCATCATTTAACAATCAGAAATTGGAATTTTACTGTAAGCTAGAGCTTTCCCTTCCCCCTTATTTATTGGTCTCATCATTATTGGTTCTTATTTTTTCAGAGGTTTATAATTCATCACTATTCTAAATTATCTTGGTGCTCATCGTATCCCAAATTTGACTAATAGGAGTCCCTTCAAGCTGGTGCCTGTGTCCTTGTGACATGTCCCTATTGTGTTTTTTAGAGCATCCTTACTTTCTGGTCAAATATAATGATCTAGGCCCAGCTCTAGTGTGACCTAGTGCTGTTATTAGCCATTTCTCAGGAGGCCTGGTTCCTTTTGGTGTTGAATGGTCTGAGAGACTATGAGATACACTTTTACTACTCAGATATCTTTGCTTTTACATCTTTTCAGCAGATAGAAGCTGTAAAAATATGCATGTTTATGGACATACAGAAATACATATTTGAAATTACACATATTATGTGTACATATCTGTGTACTCTATGAGTTTTGTATGCTGACAAAATTGATGGACAATGCATTTCTCAGAGCTTATCTCTGTCACGAAGTGACACATAACCATATATCAGTGTTTTTTGACCTTTTTTTTATCTCATGGCACACTTGAACCTATAAGTAAACTTCAATTATGTTGATCCCCAAAAAAAAGAGTGACGAAATAATATGTTTACTGCACTTTGGACTTCTTTTGTAATTAATTTAATTAATGGCTTTTAATAATTTTCATGACAAACCTAAGATCTTCTCATGGCACAATAGTTGAAAATCACTGCGAAATATACACCACTTTGAGTCTGGCTTCTGTCACTTAGCACAAAAGATTTGGATTTTACCCGCTCTTATCCAGAAAAAGAGTTCCAGAGTGACACATCTGTTGGATGTGTCAGTAGTTTTGTTTCCATTTATTGCTGAATATTTTTTCATGTTATAGAAGTACTAGTTTATCCATTCACCAGGAAAGAGCATTTGAGTCATTTCTAGTTTTTAGCAATTAAGAGTAAAGCTGCTATAACTTTCACATATAGATTTTTGCTGGGCCATATAGTAGGTACATTCTTAACCTTATAAGAAACTACCAAACCATCTGGCATCTCCACCAGCTGTGCATGAGAATTCTAGCTGCTCCATCATAGCCTTGACAACTTGCCCAAAACAGGGAAATTAAACTTCTTTCTTAGCCATTCAGGTAGGTGCGTCATGATACCTTCCTGTGGTTTTGATTTGCAATTCCCTAATGACTAATGATTCTGAACCACTTTTCATGTATTTATTTTCCATCTGTATATCTTGAGTGAAGCTACTGTTCAAATCTTTTGTGCATTTTTAATTAGGTTGTTTGCTTCCTCATTGGTGAGTTTCCAGAGTTCTTTAGATATGATGTCTGACAATTAAGTTCATGAACTCATCCTAGAAAAAGTGCTACATACCTTGTTGCTGAATATCACTATGGTCACCTTTGAAGTGCTCCCCTGGGAAACTATGCACAGACCATAGCATCTAGTCCACCCTTCAAAGCAATTTTAGAAATCCTTTTCTGGAACGGCCACCAGAGCTGTCATCATGTTATCCTTGATGTTCTCAATGTCATCAAAATGTCTTCCTTTCAATGTCTCCTTTGTCTTCAGGTAAAGAAAAAGATCACTGTATCACCAATACAGTTATTTGTTTACTGGCTAAAAACTCCCTCACAGAAAATGCTGTATGAGCTGGTGCATTATAGTGACGCAAAAGCCGTGAGTTGTTGGCGAAAGTTCAGGTCTCTTTAGTCTAATGTTTTCATGCAGCCTTTTCAGCACTTCCAAATAGTAAATTTGGTTAACTGTTGGTCCAGTTGGCACAAATTCATAATGAACAATCCCTCTGAAATCAAAATAGGTTAGCAACATCATTCGGACTCTTGGTTTGGACTGATGAAATGTTTTTGGTCCTGGAGAGTTGGCTGACTTCCATTGTTCACTTGGACACTCTGTTTCAGGGTCATATTGGTGCACCCATGGTTCATCACTAGTGATAACATGGTCCAAAACATTGTCTTGTCTCTCCAAAGGATTGGGGAAACTTTGACTCTCCTTTGCTTTTGTTCTTAAGTGAGCTCCTTCAGGACCATTTTTGCGCATACCTTTCTCATGCCAAGATTTTCAGTTAAGATTTTTCTGTTTCTCTATCAATCTTTACTGGGTCTGATATGCTTCTCACAATCAGCTGATGATTTTAATGCACCATTTAACACGTTTTTGCAATGTTTTTGTCAGTCCTGCTCATTACTGTTGTCCTGAACTCTCTTCACCAGTGACACTTTCTCTTCTGAAAAACATTTAATCCGTTTGTACACTGCCATTTTCTTTATGGCATTATCCTCGTAAACTTGGACTAACATGTCCCTGATTTCACTTCCATTCTTGCTAAGTTTAATAAGAAATTTAATGTTTGTTCATTACTCTGATTTAAACTCCAACATCCTATGACAACATACAGAAACATGTAACCACAGTAATGAATTCTACTCAGCAAGACCCTGCCACATGTTGACATGAACACAGCTGTGACAACCAATAGACCAAGGTTATAAAACCTTACTGAGCTGTTTGTACAGAGCTTGCATGATGGCAAGTTCATGAACCTAATTGTCACACTTCATATTCTAAAGATAAGTCATTGTCAGATGTATGACTTGCAAATATTTTCTTCTAGTTTTTAGATTGTATTTTCTTTCTCTTAACAATGTGTTCCATAAAGTAAATATTTTTGTTTCAATTTTTGTTGTGGTGGTGGTGGTGGTTTGGCCGGGGCTCTGTTCGAACCCGCTGCCCTCTGTATATGGGGCCAGCGCTCTACTCACTGAGCCACAGGCACCACCCTATAAAGTACATATTTTTAATTTGGATGAAACCTAGTTTATCAGTTTTTCTTTTATTGGTTGTGCATATGGTGTCATATCTCAGAATCCTTTGCCTAACCCAAAGATTTCTCCTGAGATTTTTTTCTGGAAAAATGTTTTCTCTGCTCACACAACACTTCTGACACTTAATGTATAGTATGGGTTTGCTCCACATAAAGCAATTCTCCAACTCTCTGGACACAATCCTGGTGTTCCACAATTCAGTTTAATTTAGAAACTGAATTTACCATCAGATCCCACAAGTTAGGGAGCCATAAGATTTCCCCCACTGCAGATGCCAGTAAGTCTAGGCCTCTCATACTCTAACCTACTGGCTATAAATTGGGTTCTAGAATGATTCACGGAACTTAAGGAAAACACTTTACTTATGTTCATTGGTTTATTATAAAGGATACAACTCAGGAACAGCAAAAGGAAGAAGTGCACAAGGCAGGGTGGGTGTGGTGGGTGTGGGGAGCCTATGCCCTCTCTAGGTGGGGCCCCACCCACCACCTTGGTATGTTTACTGGCCTGGAAGTAGTGGGTGGGTCTGAGAGTTTCAACTGATAATCACTTGATCTTCCTGGTAACCAGTCCATCCTGAGGCTGTCCAGGTGACACCCTAAGTCGATTGTTTAGCATAAGCTCAGGTGTTACTAAAACATGCTCATTATGAGTAACAAAGATACTCCTATCTCTCAGGAACTCTGTGCCAAAAAATCAGGAATAAAAGGCCAGGTAAATTTTTATTGTACCCCAGTTTCCTTCTAAATTCTCTTCTACGTTTTATGTTTTACATTTAGATCAGTGAACCACTTTGAGTTAATTTTTGTATAAGATGTGAGATACGTCAACCTAGATAACAAAGAGAGGCTAAATATCCTTTGCTTTTTATCCTCTCTAAAAGCAAAGGATATTTATTCAGGAATGGGATACTGCAGTGGAAGTAGCGGCCATACTGTTCAGGGAGGTAAAGGAAGACAAAGGTTTGTAAAGGAGAAGTGAGGAGGATTGCTTAATTGTTTGGAGATAATTGTCCTTGGTTATGAGGGTCAATAACAAGGGCCATGTCAGCCCAAAGTTTGACAGGTGGTTGCTGCTCCCAGAAGAATTTCTGTGGGTGAGGTTGTGGTTTTTGCAGTCTTTTGTGATAATTTTGTTATTATGTGTACACATGTGAGAACCCTCTCTTCAGAGCCTCATTTCGCTATTGAACTGTTTTTACACCTTTGTCAAAAACCAGACTAGTGTTTGGCAAGATCCAGGGCTGATGGTGGTGGGGAAAGCGGCAACACAGGGGAGATCCTGGCAGTGATGGAATAGTTCTCTGTGTTGATCCAGTTCTGCTTGTGGTTACACAAACCAAAACATGCATGGGATGGGGAAAATGATGCGGAACTATACACACACATTACAGATACGCGTCAAATTCCTGGTCTTTATATTATATCATAATTATGTAAGATACAACCCCTGGGGGCTACTAGGTGAAAGGTACATGGGACCTCTCTGCCTCTGTATCCCTAATAACTTCAAAATAAAAAGTTAAAATTCTTTGACTGACCATACTTGTGAGAGTCTGTCAAGACTTGCTATTTTGTACCGTTGATCTACGTAGCTATCTATCCTTTGCTATTTCCACATTCTTGATTACTATAGTTTTGTTAAGCTTTCAAATCAGATAGTGTGATCTGATCAGATCTTTCAAATCAGCCAACTTTGTTCTTTTCAAAATTGTTTTACGTACTCTGTGTCTTTTGTATTTCCATATGAATTTAGAATCAGCATGTTAATTTGTACAAAGTCTTCTAGGATGTTGATTGTGGACTTGCCTTGATTCTACAGATTAATACTTGTCAGTATTAGATCTTCTAATATCTTCCTTTTATTTTTCATCTGGACTTCTAGCTTTCAATCTGTAATTCCTCTTGGTCCTCCAAAGCTTTATGAGAAAAGAGAGTTCTGGCAAGTGTGGGAAATGGTGCCTCCCTCTCCTGTTTAGTTAAAAGGAATAGAAAATATGCAGCCCGGCCAAGTAGGTTTCTGCAATGCCAGGCCTTGGGAGGCAAAGTTACTATTGCCTGATATTGGGTTGCTCATTGGTATTTAAAAAAAAAAAAAATCAAGTATTCACATCAGAGCTAATGTTTTGAAAAGCAAAATATATTTTTAACTTGATAATTTCTTATTATGTGTGCTATAATTTCTGACTTTAGAAAGATTGAAAACCTTTTTGAAACTCTCAAAAGTGGTTTAAAACTTTTAGGTGAGAAAGGAACAGATGAATTGAAGTGTTTTTTATTTCTCTCATGTTATAAAAATAATTTTTTAAACTTCCCAACTGTTTTCAGTAGCAAAGGAGCCAGGTATGAGGCACAAGGTTAGGATGGTGGTGGGTAGTCATCAAACTCCACGGCACCTAAATTCCTCGAGGGCAGGGCCCGTGAGGCTCCCTATTTTATTCCCCAGTACCTGAAATTTGTTAGCAGTCAATACATATCTGTTGAAAGAATAAATCAGTTTTGTGGCAGAACTTTGTTTTCACCTATATACTTTGGGCCCTAATTTATATTCTTCTCAATCAACAGTGAATTTATCACTTGACTGTATAATAATAGAAGAAAGTCCATCTTCTTATATCCTCTTTCAAGAATCATTTTCAAAATATTCAATAAGGTGTAAAGAAATATAGTATTACTAGTTAAAGGCTTCAAGGGGAATGTATTTGAGAGATTGGAGTGCAGATTCCTTGTCCCTGATCAGGAGTGAGTAGAGGGTGTGATACGGTCCCTGGGTCCGAGAGGCAGAAACACAACCAGACCAGGACTGTAGCAGACAAATAGGAAGGAACAATGTGGGGCATGTCAGCTTCCTCTAGATTTATGGGTGTTCATTCATCAGCAGGATTGTTAGTTTATAAAAACCCAGCCACTGTTCCATCCAGGCCTCCTCTGCACAAGATAAATTGGGGGCACATCAACAATCTTCATGGAGGAGTAGCAGTGTAGTGAATCTCTTCAATACATACTGTGCTAGTCGCCCTGTATTCCAATTTCATTTTGATATTCACCAACCCATCCTTTAGTGGAATTTTCTTTGTAGATTTTTTAGGCCTTATGCCTGGCTCCTTTGCTTCTGAAAACTTGATTTTGGTGGCTGAAGAATAGCTTGGGAACTTTTGACAAATATTCAGTTCAAGGAAGACCTGACTTCTAGGCAGCCTGGAACCGTGCTTCTTGATCCGAGTCAACATTTTATCAGACTGTACAACACTTGTCGGTATTTGTTGTTGAAAAGGGAAAAGTGGAAAGGGTGAAATATTTCTCTACTGGATTTAGAAAGTATCTTTGAATATAAATGCAAGATAAGGCAAAGTGGAATTATTGTTTAAGTAATAGAAGAATCTAGATGAGCTACTATTTAATGATCTTTGAGGAATATTTCGAATTTTCTTTCTACCTTACAGATCATCTTGTTAAATTCTGTTTCTGACCTTCATGGCTACATTGACAAAAGCCAACTGACGCAGGAGTTAGGGGGGACTTTGGAATATCGCCACAGTCAGTGGATAAATCATCGCACTGTGAGTACAAACCTATGTGCACTTTTCACTGTCTCTCCTTATTTTCCAGAAGATAGGGGTTAAAGATCAGCTGTTGAGAGGTCACCCCATATGCCCTAACCTCAGGAAGGTTGAGATTACCAAGCCTCAAGCTGGGAAAGGTAAAAGCTGAGGCTTTTCCTGTTGACCGTGTTACCTCACTGCACCTCCCGGTACAGGGGCTTGGGGAGACTTGATTTAGAGGGTATCTGGGGAGTTTTCAAAAACATTGATGGCCTCTATGCCTCAGAGAAATTAAGTTACATGGTCTTGGGGGGGTCTCACATATTAGCATGTCACAAAACTTATCAGGTGATTCTAATGTGGGGACAGATTAAATCTGTGAAGTCACAAGAAGCTGCATTTAAATACTATCCCCGTGACTTACAGCATGACCCATGTGAGTTACTAAGTTATATATAAGTCATCCCCATGACTTATAGCATGACCCCGGTGAGTTACTAAGTTACATATAAGTCATCCCCATGACTTATAGCATGACCCCGGTGAGTTACTAAGGCTCTCTGAGCTTGTTTTTTCCTCTGTTAAAATGAGACTGGGCTTGGTGTGGTGACTCATACCTGTAATCCTAGCACTCTGGGAGGCGGAGGCAAGTGGATTACTTGATCTCAGGAGTTGAAGACCAGCCTGAGCAAGAGCGAGACCTTGTCTCTACTAAAAATAGAAAAACTAACTGGGTGTCATGGTAGGCACCTGTAGTCCCAGCTACCCAGGAGGCTGATGCAGGAAGATTGCTTAAGCCCAGGAGTTTGAGGTTGCTGTGAGCTATGATACTCTACCCAGGGCCACGGAGTGAGTTGCTGTCTCAAAAAAAAGAAAGAAAAGAAAAGAAAAAGAGACTAACACTGTGGTTCTCTCTTGGGGATAATTTTGCCTCTAAGAAGACATATATCAACATCTTTAGGCATTTTTTGTAGCCATAACTTGGGGGTAGGTCCTGACAGCTAGTGGGTAATGGCCAAGGACTCTGCAAAACATCTCTCAACGCCAAGATAATCCTACACGGCAAAGAATTATCCGGCTCAAAGTGTGAAAAGTGCCAGGGCCGAGAAACCCTGGATTAACAAAAGCTACCTGAAAGTTTGATAGGAAATAAGTGATATAGTGTCTGAAAGTACATGGTATTTCACTTTTTTATCCTTAATCATATTGATGGTGATTATGCTAAACTAGAAGGTTCGGTAATATTGACAAAAAAGTGAGATTGTGAAACTCACTGCAGTGGATTAAATGTTGGGGTTTCCTCAATATTCATATGTTGGAACTCACAGTGATAACCCTAGGAGATGGGGCTTTTGGGGTCATGATTTAGTCATGAAGGCTCCTTCATAAATGGATTTAGTGCCCTTGTAAAAGAGATTGAAGGGGGCTCGGTGCCTGTGGCTCAAGCGGCTAAGGCGCCAGCCACATACACCTAAGGTGGCGGGTTCGAATCCCCAGCCTGGGCTCGCCAAA